AGACTTGTCTCCTTTAAAGAGTCAAATATTCACAAAGTGTTTTTCAGTCTTCCAGGTTAGAAAGGAAAAGTCTTTGAAATCAAAGTCTAACAAATCACTATTTTACTATGCAACAGTTTCCTTCATAACTCATCCTTGAGAGAAAGGGATATGAAAACAAGTTAACAATAATACTTTGCCATCCTAGACTCAAGAGTTAGCCCTAGAAGGGCTCTTAGAGAGCATCTTGTTCCACACCCATCTTTTATGCATAAGAAACCTAAGGCACCAAACAATTCAGTGTCTTACCCAAAGTGACCAAGCAAGATCACTACCGAGACAGCTGATGTTGTCATGAGTACCCAAAACATAACCACACCTACAGAGCTTTAAAAGCAAATGCTGTCCTTCTGAAAGTAACTCTAGACTAGAAATAATGATTCATTCTCCTCCTCTGTGGACTGTTCCCACCCCTCTCTGAAGAACATGTTGAACTTCAGTAAGGTAGAGTTTTCAAAGATAAAGCCTGTGAATTGAATGAGGGAGAGCTCCAGAGCTCAACTTTCTTCAATCTATTATCTCCTTAGACAGAATTGTGAGTTGGAAAGGAACTGAATTCCTGACTTGATCCTACCATGAGTACCAAGCTCTTCTGGTCTGTCATCATTTATTTCCTGGGAACAGGTGAGTCCTAGGAGTAGAGGGGGAGATTTTATCTTAGGCCTGTCAAGTTCTGACTCCAAATCTTTCCTTGGGAGCTTCAATATCAGTGTTCTCTTTGGACTTCTTTCTCATTCTACCACAGGTCCCATGGATGCTAAGAATGCAAGAATTACCCAGAGCCCAAGACACATAGTCACAAGAATGGGACAGAAAGTGACACTAAGATGTGAACAGAATTTGGGCCATAATTACATGTATTGGTATAGACAAGATCTGGGCCAAGGACTCCAACTCATTTATTACTCTACATCTGAAAAAAACTTTCAGGAAGGAGACATTCCTGAGGGATACAACGCCGCTCGAGAAAAGCCAGAGCTTTTTTCTCTTACTCTGCCATCATCCAGAATCAACCAAACATCATTGTATCTCTGTGCTAGCAGTAGAGACACAGTAAGGCAAAGTCAGTTCCTTTCTGTACATAAACCTTCTTCAGCCTGTACAATCCTGAAGTGTTGATTCTTTCTGCTTTCATTATACTTCTCCAACACAGGAAGTTATTTTTGCTATAAACACACACTGTGGGGGAAAATGCTAATTGTGGTAGTCTTATGTCCATATCCTTCACAAAAGTTCTAATTTATGCTTCAACACAGGGAAGAGGTTTGTAAATACCCAGTATCAACTGGTGATTGACATGGAAGTCATTTCTTAACTAGATATCTGAGTGTAATTGGACCATGAACTTATTAGAACAAAGTTCAAAATGAACATCAAATCATGAGACTGAATAAAGATGAGAAAAATATATTGCATATGTATGTAATTATGAAAACTTCATTCTGGCCTATCTAAATAAGCTCTTGATTCTGAAACATTAGGAATAGATAAAGAGATAGATATGGACTGTGATTATTAAAATTTCCTAGAGAAGTATAAATGTCATAAGGCAGCTGGCACAGTGAGAAAGCCAAAAGAGTACTGAAATCACTTAAGCAATCAACAAGCATTTACTATGCTTGTATACTATTATGCACATATATACTATGTGCCAAACACTATGCTTATGATCTGTACCACTGGAGTCAGTACCAACATTGATGAGATCATTCAACCATTAAAATATTCAAGTATGTATAAATACTGTAGACCTGTATCTCTTAAAGTGTGGTCCCTGGACCTTTGGGGGTACCCAAAACACTTTTGGGGTATCCTTGAGATCAAAATTATTTTCATAATAAACACAAAGATGCTATTTCTCTATTAAAAAGCTCCTCACCTTTCCAACTACATATCTATATGAAGCTGGATTTTTTTCATATACTTCAACTGAAACAATGTATCACAATAGATTGAATGCAGAAGCAGGTATGAGAATATAGCTATCTTCCATTAAACAAGACATTGGCAACATATGCAAAAAAAGAAAATCATTGCCACTTTTTCCACTAATTGTTTTGTTTTGGAAAATATTGTTATTTTGCATAAAATTATATTATTTATGTTACTATATAATGAGCTTGTTATTTTGAATGTATTAATAAGTAGATATTTTAAAATAGTGTTAATTTCTAATATGGTAAATATTCATAGATACAACTCATGTAAACAAAAGCTCTTTAAGGTATTCAATATTTTTTAAAAGCAAAAAAATTTTCAAGAGTGTACAGGGCTCCTGAGACCAAAAAAAAAAAAATTGAGAATTGTTGCTATAGACAGAACAATGACTGAAGCAGAAGACTGAAAAATTGATAATAGGATGGGTTTCATTTAATACAGAAGTATCAAAGATTCCTAACTCCTCTTAACACATGAATACACACACACATTTTTTTTTAACACATTCTTCAGCTGATACTATATGGCTATGCATAATGAAACACCATATTCTTTGAAGGAGTAAAATTCCAGAGGGCCCAGAGAGAAATGGAAAAACCATGATGTGCATAAGTAGACTTTAGCATATGAACACTGAAGATTTGCAAGTAAGAAGTACCATAAAATATTTCATCAAGAAAACATTCTCAGAAAAAAGAGGCTCAGGCAGCTAGGTGGTCCAGTGGAAAGAGCATCAGCCCTGGAGTCAGGAGGTCCTGAGTTCAAATGCATCCTCAGACATTCACTAGCTCTGTGACCCTGGACAAGTCATTTAACCCCGATTGCCTCCTCCTTTGGGTTCCCCCCAAAAAGGAGGTAGAATGGCCATGTTTAAGAGTTGAGGTAACAGACATTATTTGAAGTGCCCTACTGGTACACATAAAACGCTAAAAGTTCTGATGAGTTGTTCCACAGAGATTCTATGTCATATTTATTAGAGATCATGGGCAAAAATTACATGTGGTCAAAAGTTATGAATAAGTTACAATCTGCACCAGTGGTGGGGTGGGATGAGGAACAGGAATCCACATAAAGGAGAACATGGATACATCCAAGTATCAAAGTGAGACTTATTACACTAACAATCATAGCACTTCTCAGTGAAATCACAAGGGTGAAGAGGGTTAAGAAATCTTCCTTTAATGCAACCTCTCCCCCTAACTAGTCAGGTAATTAGTCCATACATTAGTCAAAAGCATTTATTAAGCACATAACTCCTTCCAGGTACTGTGTTAAGTGCTAGGGATATAAATACAAACAAAAAGAAAGACAGTTCCTTCCCTTAAGGAGTTTACATTCTAATGGGAGAAGACCTCACAGAAAAAAGGAGCTAAAGTAGGGTGGGAGGGGTAAGAGGGAATTGTGGGGGGCAGGGAGGAGGCGACAAGTATCTATGGAGGTGAAATCTAGGGAGTCAAAAGCAGAACTGGAAAGGAATGAAGGCAAGCCAGCCTGGGTACTTCCTTAAAATGGAACCCCAGGAGGAACTCACTAATGGAAGAAGCAGCTTGCAGGTACTAAGAGGTGGAAAAATCCAGAATAATCTTAGACCAGAGAGATTCTTAGGTTTTAGGGTCTCAGAATCCTTTTACACTCTTACAAATTATTGAGAACCCTTCCCAAAAGTTTTTATATATAGGTAATATATTTGATGTATGTAGGGAAATATCAATATGTATCATAAAAATTAAAATGTCTTAGAATTATTATCAAAATAGTTTTGATCTTGGGCTCCTTAAAAAGGTCTTAGAGACATCCAAGACCCCCAGATCACACACTGACAGACATTATCTTAGATTATCTTGTTAAGTCATTTTATGTCTCTGAGCCTAGTTTCCTCCATTGCCAAAAAGGTGATTTGGACTCAATTATCTCCAAATCCTCTTCCAAATCCAAAATAATAGAATTTGTAATTGGCTTCAGAGGGCTGACTGTCGAGCAGATTAAGGGAAATGATAGGGAAAAATTGCCTTGATACAATATAAAAGGCAAAATAAATTAATGCATGATTATTTATCTTCAAACTACAGATTCTATCATTTCATATTGTTTGAATAAAACACAGCGTCACTCTTCATGTTTGGTTCATTTCTCCCCACTCATTCCTTTTCCCAAACCCTCTCTCACTGCACTTTCTCATTCTCACACTCAGTCTAGTCATATCCTGCTCTCTACACAAGGGGTCAGTGGCACATTTTGAATCACTTGTTTTTTGTACCCTTCATGGACACCTCCTTAAATTCTATATAGCTATTTTTTAAAGTATTTGAAACATTCAGGAAGCATTATACACATTACTCTGCTCTATGCAATCTGCAGTCCAGTCAAACCAGGTTTCTTGCTTTTCCTTATACATAACACTTCATTTCCCAACTCAGTGATTTTGCACTGGCTGTCTGGAATATTCTTCCCAATCGCTTCTATTATCTTGAAGTTACAAGTTTCATCTTCAAGATTCCTTCAAGATTCATCTCAGGTGCCACTTATTGAATACTTTCCTAGTAGGTCTCCCCCAAAACTATTGCCTTCATATCTTTGCCCTCCCCACCACCAGCCTTTCCTTGCTGTCATTGCTGGTCAGTGCTTTTCAGGTGTGTCTGACTCTTTTTGACCTCATTTGTAATTTTCTTGGCAGAAGTACTGCAGTGGTTGCCATTTCCTTCTCTAGTTCATTTCACAGAGGAGGAAATTGAGGCAAGCAGGATTAAGTGACTTGCCCAGGGTCATATAGCTAGTAAGTATCTAAGGAAAATGAATCTTTCTGACTGTAGGCCTGGCATTCTATGCCTTGTACCACCTAGCTGTCCTAACGGGTTACTTATTTATGTATGTGCCTGTTATCACCACTTGCCATCCCCACCCCCAATTAGGATGTAATGAATGCTGTGGGATCATTTCACTTCCGTGTATTTCCCTTGCTCACTGCTTAACAGGGTGAGGAATCTGTGACCTGGAGGCCACACGTGGCCTTCTAGGTCCTTGAGTACGGCCTTTTGACTGAGTGTAAGTTTTACAGAACAAATCCTTTTACTAAGGGGAAGTTTGGATTGGGTCAATGGGCTGCACTTGGGAATCTTGAGGGCCACATGTGGCCTCAAAGCCATAGGTTCCCCACTCCTGGCTTATTGCATGATATAAATCTAATGAATGTTTGTTGATTGAGTGTGTAAGGGAAGCTCTCCACTTCCTCCAAGTGACTTGATGTAGTCACAGAATGTAGTCATAGAATATGAGATTTTAATATCTTAGCAAAGTCTTAATGTCCTGTGATCCCTTTATTAGTTGTGAAAACTTCTCTGATTGAGTCAAGAAGGGATTGGCTGAGAAACCAAATTAACCAACCTCCCTTAAATATATTTAAAAAGTTGAGCCCTTAGAAGCTCAAGGTAGTCAAGATTCAGAGAAAATGTGGAGTGAGTCCTGTAGGGACAGAGGGAAGGGGAGGGAGTGTCTCCCTTCCTTCTCCCTACTAATCATGGCACTAGCTAATGCTACTGAAAGAATAAGGAAGGAATAAAAAAAGCTAAGTTTTTTTTTAAGATATATTGGGAGAAAAAGGTAGGATCCAACAAGGAGGGGCAGTCTCCTCCAGCTGGATGGCAAGATGACAACTGACAAGAGACAAGTCTGAGCTGCTTATTTCTTATTTTATTGCCATTTACTTTGCCAAGGAAAATTAACTTCATATCAGAAAGGAAAGAAGAAACAATGACTCACAGAGTTGCTACCCAAGATAATAAAGGAAATAGTAAGAGAGAACCAAGCTACCCTTGAAAAATTCAAGTCACCAGGCCTAGATGAATTATATATTTGGGTTCTATGTGTGTGATTCCTGTGTTTGCTTCCTGTGTTCTGTGTTCTGTGTTCTGTGATTACGGGGCCACTATCAGTGATATTTGAAAGATCATATTAAAAAGGAGAGGTCCCATAAGATTTGGAGGTAGGTAGGTGGCTCAGTGGATAGAGCTCTGGGCCTGGAGTCAGGAAGACCTGAGTCCAAATCTGGCCTTAGACAGTAATTAGCTGTGTGACCCTGGGGAAGAAACTTAACCTCTATTTGCCTTGATCCACTGAAGAAGGAAGTGGCAAACCACTCCAGTCACTTTGCCAAGAAAACTTCATGGACAATATAGACCAACAGTCAGTCAAAAACAACTGAACAAAGCAACAAATTATTCTTAGGTATTATGGGACATATAAATGAATGTAACAGATTATATATCTACCCATATAGATATTTATATACCACGTAAGTGTGTGTGTGTGTATATATACATAAATGTATGTATAAATATGCACACACATTAGAAGTACAGTACTAGGCAATTGGGGCCAAGGAGAAACACTAGCGGGTGGGGTGGGGGGATTAAGAAAGGTGGCATTTGACCCGAGTTTTGAAGGAAATTAGGGATTCAAAGAGGCAGAAGTGAGGACACAGTACATTCCAAGTATGGGAGACAGTCTGTGCCTTAATACTGTCTAGTGTAACCCTCCTTCTGTTTTGAAAATTAGGAAAAGAAAGTCCAGAAAGTAAACACTAAAGCCTGCCTCAAGTCATAAGGGTAATGAAATTATGCTCCCCTTCTCCATACACAGAAACAGAATTTCTTCAATGATCCTAAATTTAAATACCACCAGTGTTCCTGCTAGCTCCTAAATCATAACCACACCTACAGAGCTAAAAACAGTGGCGCTATTCTGAACGTAACTGCAGTCTACTAAGATTTATTCCCCCTTTCAAGGAGATGCTGCAGCTCCCCTTGGGAAGACTTGTTCAGCTACAAGGTTTTAGAAGATATGTTAATTCTGAATCCTCTGTGTTAAGCTAAGGGCTCCCCAGAGCTCAGCTGGTTTTCTACCCCCTCTCCAGGAGCCAGAGCTCTGTTCTAGGAAGCTGCTCCCTTGCTGCCCTGATTCTACCATGGACAGCAGGCTTCTTTGGGGTGTGGTCATTTGCTTTCTGGGATCAGGTAAGTCCTAGTCACTGATGGGAAATTACTTCCTCAGACTTTTTGGATTCCGGTTGAAATCCTATCCCTGAGAGATTCAGTGTCAATCTCTCTCTTTGGTTTATTTCTGCTTCCCCCACAGGTTCCATGGATGCCAAAGATGCCAGAATCATCCAAACTCCAAGAAATCTAATCACAGGAATAGGACAGACTGTGCACCGAATTGTGAAGAGAATTTGGGACCTGAACGCATGTACTGGTACCGCCAGGACCAGGGCCAGGAGCTTCAGCTCATTTATTTCTCCATAACAAGAGGAAACAAAGAGAAAGGAGACATTTCTGAGGGATACGATGTCTCTCGGGAAAAGGAGACATTTGATCTCATTCTACGGTCATCCAGAACCACACAAACATCTTTTTATCTCTGTGCCAGCAGCAGACACAATAAGGCAAAGTTAGCTCTTCTCCATGCAGAAACCTCTTTCATCTCTTACTGCAACTATGAGGTGTTGAATTTTCCTGGCACTTGCTACCCTTCCCCCAACACAGGAAACTATTACTACTTTGAGAAAACTATGAGCTAAACCACTCTTATAGTATTTATCACATACTGGCATGAATTGCAGATCCTTTGAATATGTCACATATCACTTAATGGGCCATGAAATCCTTGAAAGTAACTTTGTGTGTTGTTCAGTCATTTCAGTCACGTCCAACTCTGTTTGACCCCATTTTAAGGCTGTCTTGGCAAAGATACTGGAGTGGTTTCCATTTCCTTCTCCAGCTCATTTTATAGATGAAGAAACTGATGCATACAGGGTTAAGTGACTTGCCCAGGGTCACACAGCTAGTTAAGTGTCTGAGGCCTGATTTGAACTCGTGAAGATGAGTTTTCTTGATTCCAATCCCAACACTCTATACACTGTGCCAACTAGCTGCCACAAACTTTGTGTGTAGCAGAAACTAAAAGAATATTGTCATGCTAATGAATTAATGATTTATTAATAATAATAATAACTCAAGTTCTGTAGTATTGTAAGGTTTGCAAAGTGTTTTACATATATTGTCTCCCTTGAAGGTGGCAGTACACTAGATAGATGACTAGCTCTGGAGTACTAGAACCTGGGTTCAAGTCCTGCCTCTGAAGCGTCCTACCTGTGTGAAATACAGTATGTCATTGAGCCTACTTTGGTCTCAGTTGCTTCAACTCTGCTATGAGATTAGTGAGCGCAGGGTAGATTAAATGGCCTTGGAGGTTTCTTCCTGTTGTACATTTGTGTCGTCTTATGATGCTATCTATGGAGACATTAATGAAGTTCTATTAGTTCTCAGCCAGGCTGCAGTTAATGACTAATCTATATGAACGTACAAAACAGAACTAGTGAGATCTTCGCCACTTAAGAGAGACACTGAGCAAAGTTAATAGAGTTCTTCCAATTATTCTCAAGATATTCCAAGGTTTCTTGGGAAGAAGAGGAGTCAAAGCAAAAGTCTTCATTTGCAATGCTCCCAGAGCTACAGAGACTTTGGTGTTAACATAGTCACCGAGTTCCCAGAGAACATAGAGATGCCAGGAGCCATGGACTCATTGGGCCACTCACATCACTTCATGATGAACAGAAAAATCTACAATAATTGTTGACGTTTTTTCCCCCCTCAAAGTGTAACAGTTACTGTGAGCTCAGTTTCCTAGAGAAAGACTGAAGGAATCTTCCTACTCAGGATTCTAGAAGTGCCCCTGAGGGATTGGGAGTGTCTTTCTCAAATGTTATTGGCTGGAG